GCTTCGAGCAGTTTATTATCACGCAAAGTCACTCGTACGAAAGATTCAATGAATGTGATGGCTGCTCGCTTGAGCATGCTCTTTATGGAGTAGTAGGGCCATGGGCGCACCAATCAGACGGTAGCATTTGCAACGCCGACAGTGAGACGCAACGTGATTGGAGCGTACGAAGCGCGCTCTTTGCCCATGGGCGCACCAATGAGACGCTAGCGCTTCCAACGCCAACGGTGAGACGCAACTGGATTGGAGCGCAGGAAGCTCCCTCTTTGCTACATAACCGTTCAACCGCTACCTTTTAATTCATAGTTGCTTCGCTTGTCGAACGAATAGTTTGTTGGACGTTTGCTAGTACTATACAGAGAAGTCATAATGTCCGGACGTGGCAAAGGCGGAAAAGTGAAGGGAAAGGCAAAGTCTCGCTCCAGCAGGGCTGGCCTCCAGTTCCCCGTCGGCCGTATTCATAGGCTTCTTCGTAAAGGCAACTATGCCGAGCGAGTCGGAGCTGGGGCTCCTGTTTACTTGGCGGCCGTTATGGAGTATTTGGCTGCTGAAGTGTTGGAATTGGCGGGAAACGCTGCACGTGACAACAAAAAGACGAGGATCATCCCACGTCATTTGCAGCTGGCCATTCGTAACGACGAGGAACTGAACAAGTTACTGTCTGGTGTGACCATCGCTCAAGGCGGTGTACTTCCAAACATTCAGGCAGTTCTGCTACCCAAGAAGACTGAGAAGAAGGCGTAAACAGTGTCACTCAACTAAACAAAAATGGCCCTTTTTAGGGCCGCAAAATGGTTTAACGTAGAATATGCACCTGACTCACTATTCGGTCGCTGTGTTCCTTCATCTCTTAATACTGGCTATAAAACAGTTAATGCATTATATTCATAGAAAGAAATTTATACAAACCATACCAATAGATAAATTGAACTACTCCACCGGTACTCCAAGATAGCACATTGTCCGAAAATCAGTTTTAAGGCATTTATTATAGAATTCTCTTCATTGTTACACGTATTTAATTCATTGTAACTGGAATTCTCTTGATACTAGAAGGCAGTAGTATAGTTTTTTATACCTGAAAGATTTTTAGAATGAACTCCCACAATTGCAGTACAACACTGCGAAAGCCGCTACTTCAGCCCAATCGACTTGTCATTTTAAATAGAGAAAAAACGAAGTAAAACTTTTCCTTCACAAATCGTTGGAGGTGTACGTGAAAATCAATAACGAACGAGAATGCAACAATTACATTTCAATTCTTCGGTGATATCCAGGTGGAAGTATTGGATTCAACATGAATTGAACGCCGAATAAAAAGAGAAACTGATTGTTAAATACCCTCGTAAAAGGGAATACCCTGTAGAGGCACCTGTACTTGAGGCGCCTGCGGACACAGATCAGAAGTTGGAATATGAAATACGCGTTATCACGTTGGAGAATTGGGAACTCGTCGATCTGGGTCGATAACGTAGAAATCACAGGGCCGTCTCATAAAAACAAAAGCATGAGCAATAGCGAAACTGGTTGGCTGTTTAATTATTTGATTCAAGAAGAATGAATATAGAGATAATAGAAAGTGAGTCATAATAATATAGGATGTTACTACAGCAGTTGACGGTTTCTAATGGACTGGAGTATGTCCAAGATACATAAGTGTTCTTTTTGTAACCGGTGCAAGTTTGAAAATTCATAGCTGGACGGCTAATAATATTATCATGAAACTGTACACAGTGTATTTTCCATCCGCCCGTAAAATAGGTAAAATAGGGAAGCATGCAACTTTTCTAAATGTACTAAAGAACGTTGTCAAGGAAAATTTTTATAGAAAATATCAGGAAGGAAACATAGAGGTACATGTAAGTAATCGAGATGATTGCCTGAGGCTTATAGGAAAATGGACAAAAAATAAAATTTCAGACATTCACTTGAAAAAACGAGAAAAAGGAAACTTACGTTGTCAAGACTTCATGAAGATATCCAGATACGAGGAGTTAAAAACTGAACCCGAAGAACAGAATAAAAAAGTAATTAATGCAAGCATGATGAAAGGTATGCAGATACTAATACTAATAGTAACGATGCAAGGTGATATAAAGATAAATTATTTAAATAAAACATTGAAATGCCTGTGTTATATCGAAGTTTCGTAGAAGAATTCTATTAGCAAAAGAAGAATAGCACAATATGATCGTTGTCAAATCACAAGTTGAAACGGTGTAACAGTTCGCACGGCCTTCTTTTATCCTGATTGCTAATAATCATAGTAATGAACCATAATATTAAAGAATACAGTTATTTGTGATTCTGCATGCGATGAAATGCAATTTGTTTTTCTAAATTTACAGGCAAGGTCCATACCACGTTGAATACACCAGTTCTCGTCCCAGACTCGTGCGGACGGTAGTAAGGAGCGGATGTGCTCAGCGCGGTGCAGTGCAGTGCTTTTGAAATTTCACGAATGAGTGAAATACTAAATAGAAAAATAAATAGAAAAATGCCTCTTAAAACAAAGATACAGTGCGATAAAACATTGCGTTATCAAAGAACGATTAATAGAAAAAAAAAATAAAAAAAATAATATATAATAATCATTGTGGGTGAAGAGCCACCCAAAAGTCCTGACGAAACCCTTAATGGGAAACTAGCGACGAATGAATTTAAAGATGTATTCATCACCAAAAAAAGAAAAATAAATAACATAGACATGAGCTCTATAAAAAAGAAAAGGCAAAACGGGCAAAATAGGGGCATCGCAATTCAAAACCGATTCTCCGCCCTATCGGATGAGGAAGAAGAAGATGAGGCCTCCGATATGGAGACGAACGAAGACCCAAGCCTGGCGCCTCCGAAGGACAAAGGACCAAGCAGATCGCGCAGCACTAAGCTAAAGAAGCCCCCTCCACTAGACATTCATGAAATAGTGGAGTCGCATGCAAAGTTTGTGAAAGTACTGAAAGACATCCTCCAGGAAAAATTCCATGTGAAGTACCACAAAGACTTCACAGAAGTGTTTACATCGAATAAAGCAGAGTTTGAAAAATTGAAAAGCATTTGGGAAAGGAACGAATACCAGTTTCATACATACACCAATAAACAAGCTAAAATGTGCACCTTCGTAATAAGAGGATTGCATAAAAACACAGATTTGCAAGATTTAAGAATCGAACTTGAGTCTCTCAATTACAAGGTGCACAATATAAACCCAATGAAAAACACAAAACAGCCAATGTTCATGATTACATTTAATGAAAGCATCAAACTGAAGCAAATGCAACAAGAAATACGCTATCTAGGATATACGAAAGTCACGTGGGATAACTTCATAAACAAGAGAAGAATCTCTCAGTGCCACAGATGCCAGGCATGGGGCCATGCCGCAACTAACTGTTACGCCAGGCCGGCCTGCTTAAAATGTGCCGGTGAACACCTAACAAAGGACTGCAAAAAACCTCCAACGGTATCAGCCAAGTGCGTAAACTACGGAGAGGACCACCCTGCTAATGCTACATGCTGTGTTGCATACAAGGCC